AGTTTGGTCATTATTTCATTTCAATGTCATCCACCGGACATCCTACACCTCGACCTCCATCCTTTTGAAATCATTTTCGATGCACGCAGCGGGCGCGGTCGTAACTTGACCGATGTTTGAAAGGGTCAAGATTTTGATGATTGCTTGCATAAAGTTGCTCCTCTGCGCAAGACCACAAAAAAAGCCCAGCGAAGCGTAATCGCACGATCGTGCAGCTCACAGTTGATTGCACATTTGTGTCAATAAACAGATTGCATTACGAGGTCTATGGCATGCTGTACTATTTTATGGAAACCACATACCATCTGAGTAGAAAGTATTTTTCACGCGCCGTAGGTAAATGTGAACCTATACAGTGTTTTGAACAGCGTGAGCAGCCGAATTGAGCATACGAAGCAAGTTCACTTTATATATAGTTTGCGTCGAATACTTTTAATTTCATTGCTCTCCCTATATAAGCTCAAATTATCATTTGTTGTAGGTTCAAAGCTTATTTAATAGATACCTACTCGGACGAAGTATGTTTCAAATTAAAGTTTTTGCTTTTAGGTTTTATAAACTCCTTTGAACGATTTAATCCATTTTCAATACCAACCTGTGTGCAAGAATGTCCAAGGCCAAATTTGACGTTGTTAATCATCGGTGGCGGGTGCCAAAATGCTGCACGCACGTGGCTTCGCGGAGGGGGGAGGGGGGTGGAACCAAAAAATTGCTTGTTTTAAAGATTTTTTTTCAATTTTTCATCATTCACTCCATGCTTATATATAAACGAAGATCATACGTTTATTGCACGCCCCCGAAATTAACCACTTAATGGTTCGAATGCATTGAAAATATCAGTGGTTTCAAGTAAAACGATTTGAAGAAATCAATGAAATATTATGTACACTATTATCAACGAGAATTCTATTTGTAAAGTCAGGGATGCTCCTCAAGAGCACCACAATACATTTTGATCAATCGAAGATACTAAACCAATTTAGTCATATCTAATCGTCTATCTAAGCATCTAAAGATTGAAAGATGGATTTCTTTTCTTAACGTCACAACAACTTAATTGTTAGTTGTACCAAATCTCATGCCGATGTGGTCCGATACGTACGCTTAATTTAATGTTAAAAGAAGAATCGGTTTTTAGATTTTTTTGAAAGAGTTCACCAAGAATGTTGCAAGAAATTTTGATTTAGAATTGGAATTTGAGCTTTCAAAACATGAGGAAAGCATTTAGCGTTCAGAGCATGAATTATTAGTCAAAATATAAGTTGCTCGCAAAAATTAGAGGGCACGTTGGAAAGTGTTGTTGTTGACAACAGAACATATTGTTAACGTTTAATCCATAAGGCAAATTTCAAGGTATCAGTTCAATATAATACATTGCGGAATACTCGCGGAATAATCAAAGGCATTGTAAGCAAAAGCTACCAACACAATCAACGCTAGTGGGCTGATCAAATAAAAAGAGGGTGAGAGCTTATAATATACAAAAAGACATGATAAACTAGATTTTGCAAACAATAGCTTCACCACCATCGCCTTGCTTATCAGAGAGTTAAGCTCTCGTAACTAGTTCTTTGCTAACCGATGATTAATGGCTTGCTCTAAAAGTGCTTTGATTCTTTTGATGATATCAGGAAGTGTCTCGCTTCGCAGTTCGTCTCAAATAACAAAAAAAAGGATATCGTATGCGCCTAGTTGGGAAAGAAGTGTGCCAGTGGAGAAAGTTTTATGCAAATTTTTTCAATAAATGCTTAACTTGAAGAAAAAAGCCTTCAAAAATCATGAAACCCGTTCATGCGTTGAATGCACTGGCTTGGTATGTTTTTAGCATTAGAATCACACATTTCATAACGAGACACTCGGCTTAAGCAAAGTTAAGGTCTAATAGCCGGGAAGGATCTGTCTTTAAATATGGTGCACCATTTTGGACACACTTACGGAAACTTGCAATTTATTATTCTTCTTCTATCTTTGGAAGAAAAAAATGCAAAATATTATCAGCCGTGGCCCGAACGGTTTTTTTAAATACTTTCTCCATTTAAATTATTCTGAATCGATCTATAAAATGAATCGATTCGTTAAATAAGGAGCCGGTTTATCTGATAGACTAGTATTAGCAATTCAATGAAATAAAGAGGAATGTATTGTTCTTCACACTATTCTAAGACAGTTGCGAGAATCGGGATGAGAATATAAATAAATGTAACACGAGTATGTTGCGCGAGCAAAACAGATGGATAGCTTTCATTCATGATGTTTCCACAATTTCATTAAGATATAGGCGAAGGAATGTACCTAAATGCTCACGAGTTCGCGATGTGGTGATAATCCCGATTTAGCGGCTACCGCTTTGTTTCTAAAGCTGAGCATTTGATCCCGCTTTTAAAAATCCCTCTCCCTCTCTCTCTCTCTCTCTTTCTCTTTCCTTGTCTCTCTCTCTCTTTCCTGCCGGCGGAATATTTTGGGAACGATTTTGAAAAATTTGGTGTTTCTGGCACGTGGCCCGAGGTCGACAGTAAGCCTATGAACCGAGTTGTCGATAACTGGGACTGATCAATGAACTTTATACTGAACGCTTTTTTTTTTTGAAAATCTGTTTGACAAACTCCACTAAACACTGGCTCTGTTCTTGGAAAACATCACTCATGTTTAATAGATACGATAGTGCCAAAGTCGACAAATTCACTGCCAAGCAACTGCACCATCATCGACGCAAAGTGGAAGGCAAATTAATTGCTCTGCTTGTACACGATAATGATAAATGTTCTATCCTTCTTCCGAATATTATATGGACTAGACTCACCATGAAATCTTACCGGATATAATTTTTCTAATCGCACACAAATTGTCTAAATAAATTTCAAAACATATTTTCACACATTTATATTTTGCTATTTATTCAAATTTTTATCTTTTTTTTTTTTTTTTATTATTACTTCTCACTAAACTTGTTATTGTTTTATTTTAAATTGTTTTTATTATGTTTTTATTGTTTTTTGTGTTTTTAATATTACCATAAAACATTATATTTTCTTTACTATTACGTACAAATACTTTTCGGTTTGCTTAATAGTGTTTCTGATAGCTTCAAGTATTTAAAATTTACGCACACGTACACATATATAGTTGAAAGAATCTTTTTATAAATACGGACAGATGTGAAATAACTTTACATTATTGTTATCATTATTATTATTATTATTATCATAAATGTTATCATTTAAATTAATTAAGCTAATAATTATATTCAATAAATACAATTATTTTACTCTGGACAAGTTTTTGGTTACTATTTAGTTTGACTTATCGAGTTGAAAATAATGATTTTATTTTCAATATGTAATGTGTGCTTATATAATATAAAAGAGCAAAGGAGATGTACGAGAGGAAGGAAAATGTTTGCATATTAATATATATATTTATACATATATATATATATGGAATATGTGTTCTCTGCTACCAGAAATTCACATAAATTTCAATATTATTAAACATTATCTTGATTTTGCTGACTATGAACGGTAAAGCAATTACAACAAATGCTTAAATTTACAGGAAATGACATGATTTTCATTCTTCTTCTTCTTCTTCTTGTTTCTTATTATTACGATTTTTATACTCATCACTAATACACCCACACTAAAGATATATTCTGTTTGTCAAAACGCTTGCCACACCCAGAAGGAAGCTTCATAGACCCGCTTAAATTTTATACATATTCTTGATCAGCATTGAATCCTGTACCGATTTAAACATGTGGATGTCTCTCTATTTATCTATCCGTGACGTGTCTATGGTAAACACACTCTTGGTTGCGGAAATGAAGCCATTTGGGTCAAGTTGGTCAAAGCGCACCCCCACGTAAACTGAGACCGCGTCTGTTATCAAACCTAAACAGGTTTGACTTTTTACTCGTTATTTACAAATCACAACAAATGCAGTGTCAAAAATTTTTTTCTGTTGATAGACCTGCAGCACCCCCACGCGCTTACCCAATATTACAGAATATTGAAATGTCATTTTTTGGTCAAAATGTTAGCAACACCCAGAAAGAAGTTTGAGAGACTGTATAAAGTATACATATTACTGATTAGTATCAAACCTGAGCCTTTCTAGAGATGTCAGTCCATCCGTTCCGGTGTCTGTTAATAACTACGGTAAACGCAGTTATGTTCGCAAAAGTGGAGACAACTGACGCAGACACACGACATAAATTTCCACTTTCTTTCTACAAAAATGGGGAAAAAACGTTCACGCCCATTCCATTTCGTTTTTTAAATTTTATTTAGACCAGCGGTGATGGGTATAAGAGCTTCGGTCGCAGCCGAATGTAATTTTTCTACTTGCTTCTGTTTTTTTTTTTGTTTCATATTTTTAAACACAATTGAACAAATTCTATAAGAATTCTTAAGTTCAAATAAATAATTCTAAAAAAAACCAAATATTAAACAAAATAAAAAACAAGGAATAAATTCGGTCAAAAAAGTAATGGGAATCGTCAAGGTTTAGAAGTCGCCGAAAAGCATTTCCGTAAATTCTGTTGGCGATCAGCTTCCTTCTTCAAATTTTCGTTTGTAGAAAGTTTGAAAGATCTCGAAAGTAATTTTTGCTGCACTTTCGCTTCAGAGTAAGTAAGAGGTGCAACGTCTTTCTTATTCTAAAAATTAGTCAGAGCACTATTACGTGACTCGTGAGATTTGAGTCTCGATCAAAATGATGAGGGTAGACGATTGTTCGGATCGGCCCATTTTTCCGATTACTTGCCATACAACGCCGAAGATGTGTGAGGTATTTGAAGGCGAATGATATTCCGCTATAGTGCTTTCACTTGTTCTAGACTGTCACAGTGTCCTACCTCGTTAAATAACAATTTTCGAATATCTTGATTGCTTCAGAGTACTTAGAGGCCGTCGACGAAAATTCAAAGGACGCAAGATGTTTAAAGAAAGTTCTTTGCTTGTTTTTGTTTCTTTATTTATAGGAAAAATAAAAATTTTATTTTCTTTAAATACCCATCGTTCAGAGCATGTCTTGTATACGTGCAATTTTCAGAAGGAAGTGCAGTAAGAGAAGGAGACAGGGAGTGGCAGCAGTTTAGTAGATGTGTGACAAATTTGTAACTGTTATGCGATTCACATATGAGTGACTGAACTCATCGCAACTGTGACATTTGAACTGCGCGAGCAGTGATTGTTCGTAAAGAAAGCCTCGAACGGCTCTACTCTTTTACGCTTCTATATCTTCAAAATCTTACTGCATTTTAGAAACACATTGCACTATAATTCCCGGTACTTTTCTGACAAAATAAAAAATAAACAAATTGCACTTGCAAACTATCACAGAATATGTATATAAATAAATAAAGAAAATCTAATATATATATATAGAATTTTTTTTTTTTTTTTTTATTGCACAATTTTCATGCAACTTAAGTCAGGTACCTGAAAATAAATGCAATTTACTTAACATATACAACAATGCAATGTGTGGATAAGTGTAATATGTTTTTCTTGTTTTTTCTTTTTTGTACAAAAAACAAAAAATTTTAACAATAATTTCGGTTCTAAAGTTATTTCGTTAGAAAAGCTTGGCTTTTATGTTTTCTTCTGTATTTTCTTTTTTTTTTTTTTAGTGTATGTGTTTTTTTCAATGGTTTCTAATTGTTTTCTAATTTATTTAAAGTTAGTTACGTTGAAAAATTTCTACGAAAACTTACAAATACTTCGTGTACGATGCAGACGAGATTAAACCTAACGCTATAATGATAATGAAGTTTTGTGCCACGGTATGGCTGGCTAAATTCGTAAGGGTGGCAAAGATTTTCACCGAACTCCAATCACTGAGGCCGGCCAGATTAAGTGAGGCAGCACGCATTAAATACGTCGTGTTTGTTTGTAAACGTGTTACCACGAAACGTCGTCCATCTGTGCATGCAAGTGAATATGGGAAAAAGTTTGAAACAAAAAAAAAAAAAAAAAAAAAAAAAAAAAAGAAGAAAAAATAAAATTGAGATGATCTCCGAAATTGTTCATTAAGTCTGGTCAAGATTGCGTATATGGACACACAGAAAGGCACATGCATATATAGTTATTATATTTACCTCTGTGGAAAAGGAAATCTCTTCGTTTGGCATAACTCCAATTGCCGGCACAATACTTGAATTCATTTTCACTCATATACTCTACCCGATAACCAATTGTTTGCATATTATCCGGTACACTAGAGAATTTCACTGAACGTATATCCAGCTCCAAGCCGTCGGTGAAAGCTCGCTTTAATTGAAACCTTGAAGGCCCTATCGGTTTTTGGCCTTTACGCAATTTAATAATTCGTTCGAGTATGCCTAACGGATTTGCTACTTTGCATTTATAGTCACCGAAATGACTGTCATTACGTACGTGTATCTGCAGCGTTGAACCGTAATCGGCATAAAACCAACGATAGTTGCTGCCGCTTATCCCGTGTCCATCATGTAACCACGTAAAGGATGGCGGCGGTTCACCCATTGCATCGCATGAGATATTTACACTTCCACCCACAAAGGAATACTGCAGTAAAGCGGTATCGTTATCAAACCAGTGCGGTTTATCTGCCAAACAAAAGACCAACAAAAAGAGAAAAAATGAAAATACACCAACAACAATAAAAAAAACCATAAAACCCAATGAATGCAAAGTGAAGTTTCTTGCAAAGCGTTTTACATACATGTGTGCAAACTGAACTGAACTGAACTGAGATGAACTGAACTGAACTGAACTTTTCTATACAAATTGGGTTTCCTTTTACATACGTTGTGTTGTTACTACGTTGATAGTAGTGCATTTACAGATTCTTTGCCTTTATCTAAGTGCATTTATACGTTACGATAATTTATGAATACTTGTGGAAGGTATTCTTTCCACGATTTTCTATTTTCTCGTTTGTCAAATCCAGTTCAGTGGCCACTGCTGTTTCAAACGCATATTGCTCAAGTAAACTACGCTTTCTCTTGTTTCAACTAAAATTCAATTAACCATTCCGGAAAGCCTTAGTTAGCTCTCTTAACAACTTTCAAAAAATCAACATAATTTTCATAAAGTAATTTTTCAAAGTAAATCTATCAGAACCGGCCTCACTTATTGTACGATTTATTGTATTTCTGTTGCGTATTTCTTTGGGGAAAATATCAAAAGCCTAATGTGTTTGACTTTAGATCCTACTACCAATGCGTAGTGTATCCTTATAGGGAGGAGGTATTAAGTTGGCGCATATTTATAAAACACCTAACGTGGAATGATTTAAAAAAAGACTTAATTCTTATTACACCAATCAATTCGGAATCATTTTGTCAAACGACTTAAGCCTGCCTGTGCATTCCTCCGGCCCTCTGATTGATGTTCGCATATGGATACTTGTGTCCAGCTTACAAAGAAAGCAACTTTCGACATATTTTGACGAAATTTTTTACTCTGGCATGTTCTGGCACCATTTTTACTCTGCTGCTCACCATATAATGCAAGCAAAAATGTTATAGCGAGGCAAAAACGACCTCTAAATACCCCACACCACTTCACCTACTGAAATTCTTCACTTACTTTTGTGATAAAATTTAAAAAGTTATTTCTTGCTACCTCTTGGTTGCCCTTACATGAACTAACGCGCAGAGAACGGACCCAAATGGTCCCACTTTAAACGCGGACGACATTTGAGTCAGATGAGAGTTAAGGATTAACTTTCATCATAACATAACAACTCTTTGTAGTCCTATGTTCGGTATGTGTAGATATTATATTGAGTCAACCAACCCCAAAGTGAACTTTAGGTCTTCCGCCGCCATGAGGTATCGAAAATAAGGCAATAATGCAAAGGGTTAACAAGTACATTTTTATAGGAGTAAAATGAGCCGGAGGTGCTACAAAAAATGGGTCTGTTTGATCCATATTCTTGATAGCTGCTTAGTATATGGCCGAAATATTAATAGCTAGCAATTTTTGTGTGCATTGTAGAAGCTGTGGTCGATTCACTACTTGCTCAATAGCATTGGCTTTGGGTCAAGGCACGGTTTTGTGCAAAATTTCGGTCGGTATGTCACCTGCTTGGCAGTTCGATCCAGAAGGAAGAGGATATGTACTCTTCCTCTGCTTGATGCCTCTGGTCGAATCTGATTGACGTTGCCAATCGACTAACTCACCACGTTTACAGTATGTCAGCTGATTTATTTCGATAATGCGATATTCCCATTCCCCTTCGTCCTTACTTGCAAAATAAAGTGTCAAATAAACAACCCTGTGTCCGACATTTTTAACTAATAATTTATACACGAAAAGTTAATAATATGTGAAGATGACTTAATCTACACTTAAACAGCAATATATAATATAACAACTTGATACCTACGGTTAGAACGAAAACAAGTCGACAATACGAAAAATATTCTTCCTGTAGGCTGCTGCGTGCCTTCTAGAGAAGATATATAATTCACGATTAGTACAAAAGAGATGAGGGTCTTCTTTTCTTTTCGTAAAGCAGATAGGAGACAATGAAGCAGTGTTCTCTTGGCCATCTTACTGTAGCACTTGCAAAATGGCCTAAATACGTTCGTAAAAACTGGCAAGAGCAGAATGCAGTCAGATCGGTGTGAAAAACCTTTAACCTTCGTAACAATAACGAAAATTAGCGATTAGGTCATTGCAGACTTGACCGAATCGATGCTTTGCGTAAGTTTAGTCTCCTTAAAGTGTCCAGACTTGAACTGTAGAAACTATTATATTAAAGATGTCTTTAAAATTTTAAACAATCAATCATTTGTGCATTTAATAAAGACTTTGGTAGCATTTTAGATTAGCTGCAGTTGCTTTAAATTAGCAGCAGTTTAATCAGTTAACTATGTTTATATATTCTATTGTATAATGTTGACAGACAACTGCTTATTTTCTACCTACGTCTAAACTCTTCGCTATACCTTTGTCTCTTACCATAAATGTAAGAATAATTAGGTGGATTTTGGTTTGAATACCTGAAAATTTGTCAATATTTTATATGACTTTGCCTATCTAACTAAATCTGTGTGCCTACACATATGCACAAGCACGGGAATGTATTTAAATCAGTGCAAAAACCTACTATACAGAATTTGAAAGTTAATCGCATTTAAAGATAAAATGATAGAAAGAGAGAGAGAGAGAGAGAGAGAGAGAGAGAGAGAGAGGAAGAGACAGGTAACGATGAAAGTCTAACAAAATGAACACTTTATGTTAATGTATGTGAAATATACATAGATATATGATTGTGATACAAAACATATACATATGTGTAAATATTGCAGAAAAGGACATTTTTGGCCATTTGGACACCATAAGTATACTGGCATGAATATACGAGATTTAATAAATGCTTAACTAAGCATACCAACATACATACATATATCAGTATACAAAACATACACATACAATTGTAGTGTGTGTGCAAACAGGCAAACAGTGAATAATATCACAGACAGACATAGATGGTCGACACCCAGTGTACGTGGACATACGTGAGCTATATAAAGTTAGTTACCTATACACCTACTCGAACATCTGTGGTTCATAATTTTTGCAAAGATAAATATTGCAGAGAGAAAACATAACATAACTGCATACATACAAAGATGAATTTATGCACAAGCCTGGTAATTACTTAAGTTTACCACATTCACTTATATGTTTTTGACTTTGTTGCACTTACTTTAACTCATATAAAAAACGTATACCGAGTATCCACATAATTCCAAAGTGGATTTAGAGAATTTAAAAAAGTAAATTGTTAATCATATAATCAAAAAAAAAAAATGTAAAGCTTTTAATTATATGACTTTTCTTACTTTGCTTTTTTGTTTGTTTTTTCAAAAATCAAGAATATAAAAAAAAAAAAACAAAACAAGAGCAACTTTTTTATTGCACAGTTGTGTACCTGCTCTTGGACCCGTGGGTTTTTGCCATAGTTATGTTTTTTTTTGGTCTATTTTTTGTTGTTTTTTTTGTTTTTTTTTTTTTTTTTTTTGCTTTTTGTTAAATCACTTTTATTATTATACTTACGTTGTATTCTCAGCAGTATCGTTATCTGATCGGAGTCCGAAAATGTTGGTGTTATACGCATTGCCCGGCACGTATACTCGCCGGCGTCCTGTTGTGTTACATTTTTGATAAAAAGACCATCCGACAGTTTTTTATGTTTACTCGAGTTGGCTGCTGTAAAATGAAATCACATAAGATAATAAAGATATGCCTTTCTCACGGTTTTAATAACTTTAGTGCAAACAAAAACAAAAACGCAATTCATCTTGAATGTTTATTATTTACGGTAAACACAGGAAATTGAGTTCAGTTTCTTATTTTTTCTTTACCGCCAGAAAAATGGTTAAATCAATTGAGCCGCTGCTAACAATTGTAACATACCACTCAGAAGAAGTTTGTGGGATAGTATATAAAAATTGCCGTTATTGGCAAATCTAAATGATTTCCCGACAATACCAAGCTTCAAGGGAACTATGTCAAGATTTTATAGCATTCTGATCATTAGTTTGCAGGTTACAGTTGTTTTAGTGATGCTACTTTTGCTTTGGTGGAACAATGGAAAAATCTGAACTTCGTTGTAGAGAGAGCGTGGTTGGTGGTATCAGAGAATGATATATATTCGTAAATAGTGATCCTATATCTGAATGGCATACTATGAACTAATCGAATGATCTGATAGCCAAGTCTTTTAAGCAAATAGGAGATAAGCACTTTATCGAAGCTGTTGTTCGTCGAGGGGTTGTTTAAGCCCAAGTATTTTATGTCTCTTGAGTTCGGAGGAACTGTTTGTAGCTATATGTTCGATTTTCTTCTCTTTATGACTAATCTCTCTCAGGGCATATTCTCGATATTACGGCTATGGTAAGTGAAATAGGCAGTCTTCTGAACACGGCCTTGGCAACCGCGATACTCATCTACTTAGTTACTCATGCGTTTAACTAGAGAGTATATGAAAAAAAAAAATTTATTCTGTTACCAAAGGAACATCAAAATTAGTTTATTTTTTGCCTTCGATAACACTGGATCCAACCGAATGATAACAATATGAAACTGAAATTTTCCCTATCGTTAATACGCTCGAGAGTAGTTAGAGCAAAATAGAAAAAAACTCACAGAAAAATTGCAAAAATTTTAATTTGAAGTTATTTACCTCATGAAGATAATAAAAACAAAATTGTGTTTTACTCATTGTTTTTAGAACATGTGGGGAAAATTTCTATTCGCCATATGAGTGAAAGGATTGGAATCATTTTTGCCTGTAAAGTTAAAGTTTTGTAGAATTTTTTGTTCGAATTTCATAGCGACATTTATTATAGAAAATTTTCGCCGAAAGACTACACTACCCTCGATGGGTTAAATATTTGAGTTTGTTAGCCGAAAACACGGTCGATTCCAACGAATTTTAATTTAGTACAAAAGCGAAATATAATGAATAGGACGCGAAAAAATTATTGTTATCTTTGTAAGGAAAAAATTCTCACTGTTGGAGATAGCACACCGGTTTCGCCGGTCTCGCACAACTTCCTTCCCAAAGAATTTATTCCATATCTATGGCTGTTCACTAGAATGAACATAAGGCCGCCAGAATAAACCTAAGGCCACTAAAATAAACCTAGTTTTCCTTAAACGTTAAAAATTTGAATTGTTTTAATTCACGGCTCACGGTTCTCTTAACTTCTGAAATTCAATTTCTATGTTCACTAGGTGTTACGAAAGCTTTGCATAGTAAGCCTAAATTTACGTTATTTACTTAACATTCTCCGACCTTCATTTATGTGACTTACGCTCAATATAATTTTAGTTATTACAACTATTCACTGACACAGGTGTAAATTTACAATTCCTAAGTTTTATGATCTTCTTTATTTAATTCCCGGTTTTCTTAACTTAACGCTGCTACTCGCCCTGACACTCTTAGACCACTTGACATCAATCGGCTGTCATGGATCCACTGTCTCTCGAGTCTCCGCGAAACTACTACTTGTAAAAAAGCGATTTGACGGTTAAGTTGCTAGGGCCCGTCTACACTCTCTCGCACTTTAATGAACAACTTTTTTCTCTTTCATTCAAAGTCAAGGGACTAATTTTAACATTTCAAGTGAAGGCGCTTAATTTCAATTAGGGTTACTCTATATCTACCCTTATGTCCGTCTGCTGTGTTCTATTACAAACTACTATTACTGCCTATAATTGTTAGCCAGCATTTAATCTGGTATATGGGACCAAAATGGGAAACGATTTTGGTTCTCATATCGAGAATTAGTCTAAAAATGTTCATATTATGTACTATGAAGATGGATGAATATGAATATATAATTTATTATATATATCATATATTACACGTTACATAGGGAGAATAAAATTTTGAGATCGTAATCGTACCTTCTACGCTTTACGTACATTTTAATGAACTTAACATGCTCTTTGTGGTAGGCGTAAAAATTCATAGACTTGCCTTGACATAAAAAATAAAAGCACATATATATATGTGAGAAATGCTAACACACAATGACTTAAAAGGATTCGTGCGATGATATAAAAACTTAAGTGTGCTAGAGGCGAATCACACGCTGGATTGTCAGATTTCACAACTACAAAAAATTTGCTAAGTATTTGTTAACATGTGTTAGGCAACGCCTTACAGGTTTTATAGAATTAATTTTCCATTTGACAACCGTAAAAAGCAATAAACAAACAAACTTGACATAAAGTAACACTTGCAGAAGTTGTTCGTGAGATGATCTACTGGCTGGCAATAGCAAAAAGTTATATAAATAGAAAAAATATTTAAGTATAATTAAATAAATAAAAAAGTTTTGATTATATGTATTTATTGTGGGTTTTTATTTTATTAATGAACTAAATCAATTCTCAGTTAATAATAATAGTGAGGAGAAAGTTTTATTTCAATAACGGGATAGAAGGGGTTAGAATAGTTTTGTGAAGTTATTTGAACATTTCTTATTGCATAATTTAAGGAGAACTTTTGAAACTGTTGTCTATAACGGGGGGTCAAACAAACAGAAAACTTATTGCTTCAAGAAGGGCGCAAGACATGTGCAAAGTGTAAAAACAAGTTGTTATCATTTGTCAATTGTGTTTTATACAATAGATGGGAGCATTTGTCAAATTGTGACTTCACCTTTAGTAAGTTTTATCTTTAACTTTTACGCAAACTGCGGACAACGTAAACTTGAATAAAGCGAGTTTTGAGTAAACGACATGTGAGATACGGGGAAATCATTACATTTCGAAGGAAAATGCTGTTGAATTCTACCTACTGACGGTAAACGGCTACAATACAACATTAGATGCAGGCGTTCCAGTCAAGGGAAGCTAAACATCCTTAGCGCCAGTATTAACGGGAATCAGTTGAGCTCAACGACCCAATAATATTATCTAGGCTAAGTAGCTAACACCAACATCTGATGCAATTGCTGTTAAACGTGAAAAAGTCAATTTTTCAACTTTACGACGCTCGTCCTCATATTATCCAACCCGTATAGTAAGAGTTAATAGGCATTTCCCTTTCATTTTTATCCTATTCTAACCAACGAGTTGTTGTCAACTTGTTGTAGACAATTACTACCTACTCTATCTTTAGCTGAATATTAATTGTAATTAAAAGAAGAAGATAATTGTATTTAATTACTGTTAAAAATGTTGCTTCACAACCCGTCTAATGTGACTCTACACGCATTAAATTCATTTATCTCTAAAGGAATGGTCTGCGTACGTGTGTGACGGTTTATGTGCAGGATAACGTTGCAGAGGAAATTCAAAATTTAATGCCTTGCAGTAATTTTCCATGGCATACTTTTCAAAAAGATTCCAGTAAATAAAAAACAACAGTAAATTTAAATCACCTCAAGCAGTAAATGGTTTCAATTTAAATTAGAAATTTTTCTTCCATATTTCTAACGTGTATTCTGCTGCTGGTGTATACTTCAACCGAAACAAAGTTAATGTTAATGAAAGTGCATACTTTTGTTCTGTTCTGTTGCTGCTGTTGCTCTCGTTGTTTCTAAAAATGTGTATGTATATATATGTGTGTGTGTGTGTGATGTGTGTAATGTGTGCGTTTGTTTTGATGACTTTTAGAAATACTAAAAGCATAGAAGGATGTATATGCATACACGCACATAGAAAATACTTACTATTTATGTATTCTCCATTGAAGAGCCAAGAAATCTCTGGTGATGGATCGCCTTTAACCAAACAATAGACAGTAGCATCACGGCCTTCTCGAGCCGACTGCACCATCTCAGTGCTGTCAAAAGATATTTTCTCTGTGTGCTCGAAGAAAATTCATATACATTCAACCGCATAAATATAAATACGCACATACATATATTGTATAAAACGCAAAAGGATAAACATAATAAACAATGACAAAAGTATAGCAAACAATAAGAGTAGAAAAGAAAAGAAAATAAGAAGAGAAAAAAACAAGAAAAGAGATGAACAAGGAATGATATTAAATCAAACAAAACATATCAAAAAGCGTACCATAGTTTACATTAAGGAATATACAGACCATTGAAGACACATAAACACACACACACACACATATATATATATATATATATATATATATAGAACAAAAAGAACAGACCAAAGAAAATTCATAATCAAGCCATGAGCGTTATTATCATTAGATATTTTTAGTATAAGGTTTGAAGAAAATTTAAAATGAAAACGAAAAAAAAAAAAGAAAAGAGAAAAATATCAAAATTTAAGTTCTTAATAAGATTTATATTTGCTGTTGCGCTGCATAAATGAAAATACTAACGATTTACGAGCAGTTCAAAGGATTTTCTTTCTTTTTTTCTGGTTTCTTTGCTAAGGGCCTCGCAGGTCCAATTGCCTTTATCTGCCAGAGCAATGTGCTCGAACACCAACGCTAAAAGACCTGCAAATACAAATACATAGTTACTGGTTGACGTACATATACATACATACATACACATGTACATGTACACCATATGTATGTATATGAAAAAGGCTACGAGCTGAACGTTCGTCACTTTTTTTTTATTTAAATGTTATTTTGTTGAAATTTCATAATTTCATTAAAGTATAGTGATTTGCTTTTATTTTTATTTATTTCTCTTTTCTGTTCATACCGGCTTTCTTTTCAATGTGCACCCGGCCTTTTGTATTTTCACGAGCCGCACCACTGGAATCTTTCCATTTTATGTCGATATCCTTTTGTGTTATTGTTGTGCAAAAAATTATAAAAGAATCGTTTACAAAATGCGTTATGGATGGCGTGGATGGTCTCAGTTTTAACAAGCTGTTGCTATTGCTGTTGCCGCTAGTATTGCCACCGTTAGCACCGTTATCTTTCCCGCTACCGTTGCTACTGCTGTTTGGGTTTACATTGCCACTTTCCTGTCCCCATACCGCAACTGCCGCAAAAAATAAGCCAGAAAAATAATATTTTTATTTAAAATTATTTGGTTGTTAAACTTGCTGCATGTTTACACATATATATTTATGGTTTTTCTCTACTGCCCGCTTTTCGTTCCTCGCTACCCGAGAAATTTTTATTTATTTAAAATTGTGTTTGCAAATAAGTAAGAAAGGAAGTGAACATAAATAAAAAAATCAAAAATGGACCTAATTTCTGCATCAGTTTTTTTTTTTTTTTTTTTTTTTCAATTTTTAAACAATTCTTCAAATAAAAAACAATATAAGTTCATAGAGAGGATGGGAACTTAATTATGAAATTTTCATTAATCAAAATTTGTTTTGGCGAAAGAACTAAACAAGTGGTAACGGGTGCCTGTGGCGTATGAATTATTTCTTTTATAGATTCTTTTATACCGTATATTTTCTGTGGAACGAGGTTAAAATGAAAAACTTAAAAAACTTAAAAGTGTAGCTTTGGGTAAAAGTGAAGCTGGTCGCACTTCACAAAGTTATTTTATATCGAGCACAAGAGTTGTATTAAATTTTCGTTTATTAAATATTTTCCACGTCAAATATCGTCAAAGAACCAATTAATTATAGTTGGTATTAGTGTGAAAAACAAAAATTATAAAAAAATTATAAAAAAATGTTTTATAGACGTCCGTGTATTAATTAAAATTACAAAAGTTGCGTTAGGACTTTTTGCCTAGAATAGGAGACTTGGTTTTAAATTTCTTCTTCTTACCGTATTCATGTTTTCATGTTTTTTGCATTCATTAGTGCTAACTGAATGTGAAATATAAGCTTATCGGGGCCCCACATACGCGGAATATCTATTCATGAACTGCTAACTAGACTAAAAAGTAAAGCCACAGTGGCAGCCAAAAAAAACAATGTTTTTTTTACAATTTATCTTGGATGGAAGCAAAGGTAATATAATAATAACGTTCGGTGAGATTATTGAATTTTCACATTATTACGGTATGAAAGAAAAAATATACCCGAAATATATTAAAAAGAAATACTTTGCTTAATAGAGTTATTCAAGTAATCATTTTTCAAAATAAGGCGTGGGTAGCGGTTGAAATAATTCGGTTCCAAAATGTCGCCCGGTTCGTTGAATGCAAGAGTGCAAAATGGACATACGGACGGACGAATAAACAGGCGTAAATCGATTTGATGAGTGATTCACGATCGATCGATGTTATAAAAGGGAGGATCTTTCCCAAGTCCTTTGCAAGCTCTTGCATACATTGACGCAAACTTAATTCCTTTGTAGAAATATTGAGAAATCATTAAAATTTACTTATCAAAAATACCATACATATGCATAAGCTCTGAAACGATTGAAATCGCTCTCAACCTCATAGGTACTCAACGGTCATCTTGACCAAGCTATACATCTAAGTATACATGTCTTTTATTAGAAATGCTTTTAAATGGTCGTAAACACTTTCTAACAACATGTGTTAGTACATTAGAGAAGTTAGCAGGTGCTCATAGCAGGCAGGTGCCCACAAATCAAATAAAAACTTTTTGCAGGCAATGAATTTTTTGCCCACGTTTTCGGGAAGGTTTAAAGTATCTGTGAAGCCAAAAAATAGATTTTCTGTAAAATTTACCGCTTATGACTTAATCGACCCCTTGAGCTTTCGCCGCTAGATTCGCGATTAAAACTTCGTAACTTTGTCTTTCTCGCGGCATTTGAGTTTACGTGGTACTCTTTGTTACTTACGCACCTTCTTGCACCTATATTAGCGAACTTCTCTACTGCGCTATCGAAGAGTTTCTAACGTATAGAAATAAACATTGGTGACATCAAAAGGTTAAGCGATTTTCATCATATGTACATTTCAGAGTCCATCCGCCTGTTACTTAAATACCCAATTAAGAGAGTGAAACTTTGAAATTTTTCATCTTTACCTCGTTTAGTCATCATATTACGACGAATATGTTATCGTTCAACATAATCATCATGTACGTTATGTTATGTTTACCTCAAAGAATATCTTACAATATACAATGAAATATTGCCCCTGGCATAAACTGTTTACGTAGCATGTTACCCGTATAGTTGTGTTGTGTTATTAGATGTTCCAAAGTAAGTTAAACGTAACAATTTATTAATTTTAAACGCTGAACTATGCATTTTTTCTACCGCGATATATATGAAATTCATCCGCAACTACAACAAAGCCACATATAGGTAGCAGAATCTTAACCATCTTAAGACTTGAGCCATGAAATCATAATTAAAAATTTAGTAAAACAATTTAATTAAAAAAAGGAGAATTTGAAAAGAATCTCAAACGTTATAGTAAAGAAATCTCCATAATCGTATGCCGAATATACCCAATCACATGGAGCATGGCATCATGTTAAATATGGTATTAAAATGTCCGATCCAGTTCATTCTCAGTAAGGTTCTCCATAGGCTATTTGTGAACTATTCCATCGATGTAATAATCATTACAAAATGAAATATCAAAAAAGTAAACGTTGTTCGAAGCCTAGTTACAAGCAGAGTAAAGTTTTCTTAACACTCTCTACAATTATAAGACAATTGAGTTACATAATGGATACCGGAAGTATTACTTAGCACGAGTATCGCACACACTTCTAAGAAATATTATTAAAAATTTAAATTTTATTTGGAATGATTACAATCTCTCTATCTGCTGCAATAAAAATGCCTTCTTAATGTAAAGGTAAATAAATGAATAATAAAAAGTCTAATCCAAATTTTATAAAGTGCTTGGAAAGAAAATAAGGTCAAATCGATTTTTCAGATACCTTTATTCAAGAATATTATTATTGTAAAAAATAATTCCATTCAAACTACTGCGTATCGAAGAAGAAGAAGAAGAAGAAGATGAAAAATAAGACAAACTATGCTAAAGGAAATTGTATTAGAATTTATCGCAATAACTCGTATTATACGAATAAAGTCTAAAATAATATTAAAATGCAAATTTTTTGATATGATTAAGGACGACATTCTATAAAAATTACGAAACGATTTTTTGTTAAGTAAAAATCTTAGTATCAACTGAATATTTTCGTTGCAAATACTTGATGGCATTTTGTAAACGACGTTTAACTTAAATCAATTAAATCAAATAGAAGCAAACCGAAAGCTGCTTACTGAGCAGGTCACTGATGGCGATGCTAAGCGAAGTGTTGTTGACATGAATTGAAGCGCGAAACGATAAAATGCAAATGAATTTGTTTATCTATTTGGAATCTTAAGCAAAACAGCCACAGAGAGGGAGAGTATGCCGGCTATTAAACACATTCGATAACAGATAATCCTTACTCTGCATAATGGAGCACACATTTTTACATCTACGCGAATATATAAAAATAAATAAATAAACAAATACATAAAAACAAGTTCTGTTTTAAAGTGACATTAAAATGCATATCATATTGTTCGAACATTCTAAGGTATTGTCTATGCGCACCAGACAGTCTGACTGACTTTGAGGACAAACGGAAAACGTATAGCGAGACAAAGTTGAAAAGTAGAACATTAGTTTAATGTACGTAGGGTCGATTTTGTTTCATTTATTTTCAAACCAGAGAAGAAGAATCAAGCATCAGGTCTATGCATAAATCGGTGGAAGACGAATCTTGGATACTCAGCGCTAGCTGAAGAAGATTTTTGATATTTTCAATTTTTAAGATATTTTGGTGAAATCTAAAATACCGACATGTTCTGGCACAAAAGCCGAAGGCCATTGAGAATGCCTCAAATCGGAGCGCTTTTTCGACGCCTATTTAAAAAGTTGCTACATTAATAATTGTATTGAGCGAAGTGGTGTGGAATCTTCAGTAGTGGACCATGACTGACTGCAACGTTTCTACTTGTTTTTTAAGTTATATATACATATGTATATGCATTTCAATATGACAAATCACTCAGAAGATATTCCCTATCCGTGCAACTTGATGGCGGTCAGAAGATAGGAAATGACCGCAGGCGAGTGCTTTTACCGACTGAGCATTTACTATCGCTGCGACCAAGCACTCTCTACCATGCTGAGATTTGAACCCGCGACCCCCGACTCGGCTCTAAAGCAGCGCATTCTAACAGTTTTATGAGAATTCCTAACGATGGGCAAGTACTTCAACCCTTTTTAAGAATGAATATACTTTTCATGTCCCTCCTAGCTTAGCCACGTTAGTCTCACCAAAATATTTTGGTCATGAGTTTGCTTTTAGAGATTTAATCGGACCTCTCCTTACATGCAATATGCTCTTTACCACACGGGGACATGAGCCCGCGAAAACTGACTTCACCGACTTGGTAGTAGCATTTCTCATCTACTAGGCATCTCATCCCGATCTCAACTTGATTAACTCGAAAGCTTCTAAAAATCGTAAAACTTTTAACAAGAGACTGACAGCGAAGATACGATAAATGTAGATGAGCATCTTTCGCGTTCGATTAGACTGAAATCGGAGAAATACGGTTCAGTATTACAAACAATAATTCTATAAAACATAAGGGGGCCAAACTAATTGAGAAATCGCGTTGCTCTTTCAGATATACGTTTGTCTGGCGGTGTAACAGTGGGAGTGGGTTTATCACCATCCCTTGGTACTTGGATTTCATCATAATGATAATAGGTAGAGAAGAATGAGAGTGAGATAGAGCTATAAAAATCGACAAAAGTGTGAAGAAAAACAACAACGAAATGAAAGAAATAAAAAGATAAATGTTTCAGTTCTATAGAATGATGAGGTATAAGAAATAAAAAAAAATTTTGTTAGAGATCCCGGCAAAATACGTTAAACATAAATAATACGGCGCATTGCAGTTATATACGTAACATTATACGTACATTTTATTTATTGTATGCGAGAGTATATTATATACTTTGTCTACACAAACACAAAGGCATTATTATGCATTGCTACGCTTAGATGTGATTTGAAGTTTCCTCTTCACATTTCATTTAAAAAAAAAAGAGAATAGATTTCTGGTTACTCG